CATCGAAATATGTGTATGCAGAAAATTACTTATATGTGCATGCATTTCTGAATTTAATGGACTTCGGCATATAAAAAAAAAAAAAAAAAAAACGTTGCCTGCTTTTGATTTTAACCGTTTTTACAATCTTAAGATTAAGAAGCAGATGCTTAAATTGTCAATCAATTATTTGCATAGCTTTCTCTGAGCTGCGAATTTAACAAAAAAAAAAATAATAATACCAAACCCGCATATATATATATATATATATATATATATATATATATATATATATATATATATCTCAAATCGTGACTAAAACCACAATTTAACTGGATCTGGAAAAAATTACTTGGAAATTTCCTTATTTTTCTCTTTTCTTTCCGGCTGTGTGTACGCCCCATCTTCAAGGTAATGACACTTTATAAGACACAAAATTATTCGTCAGCTTGATGAAATCTATCACTTTCAAAACATACAAATGTGTGTAGAGAACTGTTTTCAGAAAATACATTATAATTATTTTTTAAGTTATTTTCCTAATGTCTATTTTGTTGATTTTAAATTTTTTGTCAAGCATTTCTTTTTATTTTGAAACGTGACCGATCTTAAGAAATCTATTTTCAACGATAAGTTATTTATTTATTTTCCACAGACTTTGATGACAAAAGTTTTCTTGTTGAAGTTTTCACGGGTAACATTTTTTATACATACACATTTAGCGTTTGTTTTATTTCTGCTCCTTTATTTATAAGTCTACTTGTAAGTACTTTGGAAAACAAATATGTGTACGTGTATGTATATATGTAGATCAAATTTACTTACTCGTTGCAAAGCTAATATCTCCCTGTGAAGAAAACAATGCCAGGGTTCATCTTGCGTGTGAAGCAAATCACAAACAATCATACAACAACACTATCAAGGGCTAGAGTAGCCTTTTCACAAAAAAACAGTAGAAAAACGAAGGAAAAATAAGGGGATTATTTTGGGGGTGAGGTGACGCCTTGAATCAAATATATATATATATATGTGTGTGTGTATATATATATATATATATTAAAAATATATTTATGTATCCATATATATCTTTAAGATTATCGAAATAAAGAACCCCCCCACAAAAAGAGAAAGAAATAAGGGGAATTTTTTTTCATATTAGAAATATGTAATATATCTCTCCACATAGATATATATATATATGTATATGTATGTATGTATGTATGTATATATATATATATATATATATATGTTATTTAAAGTGTCTTGTTTAATGGCATCTGGTTCATATGTGATTCCTGGAATGGTCCACCGAGTCGGAATGGAGAAAGACTTTAAAAAATACTTCTCTGATCGCCGTATGGATTTTTAACCTTTGAATTGACTTCCTCAAGTTTAAAAAGTGAAAAAAAAAAAAAAAAAAAAGGAAAAAAAAACCAACAACAGAAAAGTAAATAATTACTTCACCAAAAGGATATCTTGGAAAAAAAAAAAAAAAAAAGAAAATATACATAAGAAAAAAAAATATCATCTCAAAACAAAAGATCTCTGGATCTCCGCCCACTATTCCACCCCCCAATATTAACCTTAACAGGTTCCCCTTTTATATATTACATAGGTACAAAAAACACAATTCACATACTTCATCATAAGCACACAAATACTGAATTAGTTTTATTTTCAACACATATTTCAAATCATTTCCTGTCTTTTCCAATTTAAGAAAACGTATTTAAATATCGATATCAATATATTAAAAATATATATATATATATAAATTATCATAAGAATATTTATCTGTTCTTAATGGATTACTTAAAATATCACAACACGTGGAGTTATAGCGTTTTAAATCTTTAAGATTAAGTATTAACGGATAGCTGTAAGAAAATCTTTTGGGATTAACTATTTAATCCACTTTAAAAAAAAAATTAAAACTATTGTTTCCATTTTTTAAATCAGTTATTTTTGCAAATTAAAATGGAATTATTTTTTCGTTTACAGTTTTCTGAAATTAGTTTAAAGCTTTAGTTCGCAAAAATAAATACGCGAAAACTTTAAATTGTTGGTTAAAAATGTATGCTTATTTTAAAAAATAATATTTAAAACACGTTCAAAAATATTTTTTTAAGGATTTTGCCAACTTTATTTATTTCTCTGACAAGTATTTTTTAAAAGAAAATTCGGTAAACTATTTTGTTTGTCGATTAACAATCTATGGCGATATTGTTTATTTTATTTAAAAGAAAAAATAATAATTTTAAACACATCAATAAATATAACTTTTATAAGTAAACATTAAAAAGATATAAAACCTCATCAGCAAATAAGAAAAAGTTAACAAAAACATACCTTTATATCTAAACATACAAACAACACATTTATCATTATATATTTTATATTCCAATTCCCCTATCCCGATTCCAATATTGTGAAAATATTTCACAAACCATCAAGGATATGAAAAACACGACAGAAACTCACCAACATTCCGTATCTCAAGATACAGCGACGAATCCGACATCTTTAAACTCTAGCAGTGGGGCAAGTCCGAACGAACAGTCTCCGACTGCATGGAAGTGGTCCACAAATCCGGTGATATCGGAGGAAACTCCAAGGGAAAAACCTACAGGTATACATCTTCGTTCTTACATTTCCAAGAAAAAAAAAAAAAAAAACTAAAAAAAAAAATCTGTTCGATAACTATTTATTTTATTTTATTTTTTTTGGTTAGTGATTCTTTTTTGAAGGTCTGAATTCGAATAGAAATTATTTTTATTAATCTATATATTGAACAATTAATAATCGATAATTTAAGAGAAGTCAGGATATAGAGTACGGATTTTAAAACGTCACCAATATCTATCAATTAATTATTAGACTTGCTTGTATTTCTTTCGTGTTAAGCATATTTTAATTTCGATTGATTTTAGTGGGTTTTTTTGTGCATCATGTAGTTTGAGTTGATAAATAGGGGGAAAATCCTAAATTTATTTATTTTTTTTTTTGAATACAAAATAAAAGATTACATTGAATATTGAAGTAAATTAAAATATATGTCTCCATACATTAACTTGCTGGAAATATTCGTAATTATCATCACTTTTATGGGAAACGATATTTAAAAATAACACATTTACATATAAAGAGATATGTAGGTAGATATTACACAAGGAAAGGAAAATACTAATTGTATCCTCGCCGAACAGGAAAAGAAATATATATATATATAAGTATGATTCTCACATGAAAAATACATATCATGTGGTTCTTTTTTTTTCATATAATATATATATATATATATATATATATATATATATATTTCAGACTCAGAATAATTTTAGGAAAATGTTTTGCTAATGTCATTAATTTTCTTATAAGAATTAGGATCAAGTATGGCTCAGAATCCAACAGAATAAGAAGATAATGAACAGATAGGAAACATTTATAAAACTAACAGGTTTCTCGTTTATTTTAAAGGCAAACATGTGAGATTGATAAATGTTCCCTATTTGTTTTTTTTTCTTATCTTTATCTTATATGTATGTATGCACGAATTATGACTTTTGACATCAAAAACATCAACAGTAATAATTCGTACCTGATGAGTGGGTAGAACAACGAAACTTTAAGTTGCAACTTAAAGTTTCGTTGTTCTACCCACTCCGTACGTAGGTAAATGTTCCGTACGTAGGTAAATGCATATTTATTGATATATATACTTTTCATCGGCTAAGGCAGTCTTTTTTATTTTGAATTTATTCAACCTCTCTCGCTCTCTCTCTGTCTCTCTCTCTCTCTCTCTCTCTCTCTCTCTATATATATATATATATATATATATATATATATATATATATAATTTCAAAACAGTTAGTCATCCCTATCTTAGTAATAATGTATAAGTTGTATTCAATTATAAAATAAAACTCTATTATTTGACCCGTATATCCAGTTTTTAAGTAGGACCGCTGACAACTTTTGCACAAAAAAGATTAAGAAGATTGCTAATATCTATTCCGTGAAGTATGATTGCTTTTTTATTACCAAAAGACCGAAAATTGCTTTAGTTTAACAACAGTTATAATGTCAGGTGTGTTGAAAATTCAGCCCAAAAGCGTGAGTTACTTTTGTAAATTTCACACACACACACACACATATATATATTTATATATATATATATATATATATGCTTCTAATACATATAATGTATGTAATTACTTTTGTTTTGAAAAACCGAAATCAGTTTTTTGTTTTGTTTTTTTAATTGAGTAAAAGTTCGCAGGTTGCGTGCGGTCATTTGTCAATCAGTCAGTAAGGGAGATTTTACTTCAAATTATTGTGTCCAGAAAAATAGAAAACCTGACTGAATGTAGTCAATAAATTGTAATTTTTAGTAAAATATAATATCAGCCTGGGATCATTTCATATATATATATATATATATATATATAATATCAGCCAGGGTTCACTTATACATATATACATACATACATATATATGTAAATTAAATTCGATATAATTATCGCGCAATATTTACGGGTTAACTCTTATCAGAATTTGTCGATGAGGAAAATAACGAAACTGTAGAGTCGACATTCAATAAGTTTTAAATATTATTATTTCGAATTTAATACTTATCGCTATCGTTTTCTGTTTTGCACTTTCTTCTGCTAAATTTGATATAAGTTTCCTTATGTAATTTTACGCATATTAAATAATGTATTCGTCGCTAGCATTATTATTTTAATATGCACATCTATATATATATATATATATATATACACTCTGGTATATATGATCAGTTTGTTTTTTTGTTTTTTACGTAAAAATAGAGGGTCGCACAGGTAATTATTTTAAAGAGTTAATAAATCAAACATTTTTGGTAAACGGCTTCATTATACACAGTTTTTTTTTTCTGGATGTGTTAAAATTCATGCCAAAAAATTAATAAATCGACTTATACACAGCTACAAGTATATAATTATTAATTAGTAAATAAATAAATAATAATGAAATCTGGCATCTGAAGAAAGAAATTCACTTAATATTAATTAATACGATAAAATGTTTTTTAACCTGACATATTTTAAGCATTTAAACGTCGGAAAATGTTAAGGCAATATTTATGGAATTTTTTTAAAAGCTAAAAAGAAAAGAATATAATACTCGCTGTATATTTTATCTGTGACCCCAGGCATAGGCCCGGCCCCCTAAACATAGTTATTTCTTTATATTCGTTTCTCGTGTGACTGAAAAAAAAAACAACAAAAAAACAAAAAAAAAACTTTCGAAGCTTTTTTGAAGAAAATAGCCGACCTACAAAAGAACTCAGAAACAATTTTATGAAAAACACTTTACTCGTGCATATTATTATTATTATTATTATTATTATTATATTATTATTATTATTAATGTTAATATTTATCATAAAATTTAATTTTTCATTAAATACAAAAAACCTTAGAAATTATTATCATCATTATCTGGCACATCAAATTATGTGTTAGTTTATTGATGTAAATTTATATATATATATATATATATATTCATATGAATACACAGTAATAAATATTCATTATATATATATATATATATATATATATAAATCATATAAATATAAAAATATAAATATTCATTATATTGTATATATTTATATTTTCATACGAATATAAATATCCATTATATATATATATATATATATATATATATATATATATATATATATAGTGAAAAGTGCTCAATATCTTTGATAGAGCTAACATATTCAATTGTATGGATATTATTTTGTAACCCTGCGATTAGATAAACAAAGTGTGTCTGAAGATCGCAAAATCGTGAAACCCAGGGTTATAAACTAATATTCATACAAGTAAATATATATATATATATATATATATATACACTTAAGGTATGCTATTTTTAGTCTCATGGATAGAGCGTATGCTTAAACATACTCTTCAGGACATTATATATGGTCTGAAGATAATTTGCCTCTCATGAAACATGAACTAGCTAATAGCTATTTGCAGAACTTAATATAGTTTTAAAATCGTGCTATTTAACTGAGTATTCTTTATATCAAAAAAAGATTGCTTATGACTAATATTCATTTGATATATATATATATATATATATATATATATTCAAACTTAATATAAGAGAAAAGAAGGTTTTAGATTATAACAGAAAATTTTTATATTAAAAACACTAAGACAGATGATTATATATATATATATATATATATATATATATATATATACTTGAATGGATATTAGTTTGCAACCCTGGGTTTCCCGCTTTGCGATCATCAGACAAACTGGTTTATTTTTTAAAAGTAGATCTATTTATGGTTATTTGTATTTGATTATTTGCATATGGTGGAGTGGGAGAATTTTCTTTTGTGTTTGAGATATATAACAAAATTTCCATTACCACCGCCCCAAAATATATATATATATATATATATATATATATATAAGTCTTAATGATTGAGAGCTGCATTTTAAGAGCTCTCATGAAATAAAAATTATTACCTATGGTATTTTAAGTTTTTATTTTTTTAATTCATATATATATATATATATATATATATATATATATAAGGTGCAACAAGTTTGATCTACGTGCATGATTCTTCTAAAATCTGTGATCTGCCTTAAATCAAATGATCTAGATCTTCAACTTTACCTAAGTAGCTCATGAGTAGCAAAAGAATGAATGGAGCTTCCGCTTTATGTTGTAGATAATCAGACCCATTTTAATCTTTCTTTTTAAAATATTCGTTGCATTTCTGAATGATGTTCAAGCTGTTTACAAACAATGATAGTAAATAATAATTTCCTTTTAGTTTTTCTTTTAATTAATATTATTATTTGTTTAGTGTTTAGTATTATATATTGAATAAAAACTACTTCTTTTTCTTCTCTTATTCTATTTTTAATCTATAATTTTATATAAAAGATTTTTTCAACTCGTACAACAAATACTTTAGTGATGCGTTGTTCTAGAATATAAAGACTTGGAAGGAAGTAGATCAAGTATATTTAAGTAGCACCTAATAATTATATATATATATATATATATATATATATAATAAATTAACTGATTTAAAAATGTTCCCATCGTTACACAGGAATTACAATGTTTCAAAAACAGAAACTATAAACTTCAATATTTCAATAGCGATGAACCATATTTTTAAATCAGTTAATTTTATAATATTTATTCTCTGGAAATTTGCATTGAGCACTGTTTTGGAAACAAAAATATTAATAAGAACATCGGATTATATATCTTCTTTCTTTTATTATAATAATAATAATACATACATACATACACACACATACATATATATACACATATATATATATATAAAGAACAAAACTTTTTTTAGTCGACGCTTTTCGTCCTGTGATGAACTTTGTGTGCGTTATATATATATATATATATATATATATATATACGTTATTTTTAAATGGATAATCATATTTGGGTAAATGATGTGCTATTATTTATTTATTAAAT